ATTAAAATATAAAAACCCTGATATTTTAAAAATTGAAATTAAAAATGATCTTGATCTTATGACTGAATGGTTTCTGGCCAATAATCTTAAACTTAACAGAAATAAAACATATTGTGCAAACTTCCATTCTAATAGCATAAAAAGTAGACAGATTGACTATAACCCGTTAGAAGACACATTAAGTAAAATTCAATCTTGCAACCTTTTAGGAATAAAATTAGATTCAACCCTAACATGGTCTGATCATATAAATCAATTGGAATCAAAGCTTAATGCAGCATTTCACGTTACTTTAGTGCTTTCAAAATTAATAGATGAAAAAACTCAGATAATGGTATACTTTGCATATGTGCACTCTAAAATTGGCTATGGTATTGAGTTCTGGGGAAATGCCACTGATAGTAAAAAAATATTTAAAATACAAAAGAGAATTATAAGAGTTATTGCACAAGTTAATCCAAGAACATCTTGTAGAAATCTGTTTAAAAGAATGAAGATTTTACTTGTGCCCTCTTTGTATATATTCAACACTTTAATCTTTGTCAAAGAACATTTTTCTATTTATGAAGAAAAAAGAACTAACTCCCAATACAGCTTTAGGCCCTTGAGCTCTGTGTTGCAGTACCCCATACATAAATCTGCTGCTTATGAAAAGAGTACTTTTTATATGGGTCTCAAACTGTATAATAAGCTTCCTTTATCACTGAGAGAGGTAGAATCTACTTAACAACTACCTAGTAAAACAATTTTCTCCTGACACATTTTTGTACATCCTTTGATGATCTTTGTTTCTTACGCGCAATTGGAAGAGATAATACGCACGAACGTCTTTTAATTTCGTACCTTAATTTGATGAACACGAGTTTGTCAATGCAAAATGTTCGGTGAATGTAGCATTTTTCAAGCCACCCAGGAAAGACTTCGTTAACTTAATTTATACAAACAGAAACTAAACTTTTCTTGACGCCAATGCTTGTAATTAAACTATTTACATTTCTTTCAAAGGCACTCATGCAGATGACCATCACATTGCGAAACTCACTAGACGGCACTTTTAAGTTTCCAAAATCTGAGGGTATTTTGGTGCTGTACGCTTTGAAGTGTACAAATAACTCATCGTTGTTTTCCAGGAATTTATTTTGTTTTGAACACGACTCTGAGCATTTAAGACAGGAGTATTTCTTTTCTAAGTGATATAAAATAACTCCGCTTAAGTATGTTACCGCGTTTGCCCTGATCAACGAGTCTTCTTCAACCGAAGCACTTGCACCTTGAAGCGATGATTGTTGGTCGTCCGTTGAAAGGAACAACTGACTTTTGGCCCTATATGGATGTAAAACCTGCTCGGCCAAAAAGTGACGACGACAGAGCTGGCATGGGCAGCAAAATGTAGCTTTCAGCCGTCAATTAACGTTTGTAAAACAGCTAAAAACCTCATAGTGTGATGAAGAAATTAATTATTTATATTCTGTATGCAACTACAGCTGTTGCACCTTGCTACAATTGACTATAAGTTGCTTACGTACTTTAAATTTGGCCATGGACAACATATTAGGGGCTATGAAAATGTTAAAAAATCGATATTCAGCGAGTAGATCGGATAATTTCTCAGGATGAAATAAATATTTATCCCTCGTCTTTACAGCTACTACTCCAATTTTTGCCGGTAAAAGAATAATACAATAATTAATTGTCTTTTTTTTAATTTTCAATTCAATTCAAATATTCTTTGTTTATACATTTGTACAATGGTGTCAAAGTTTACAAAAAGAAATAGAAATGACAACAATCCTATATATAAAACAGCCGTAATACTAATTTTTTTTCTAAATTAAAAGTAAATTACTCAATGTTTGTGATAATGTAAATTCATTTTCTGACCAATTAATTAAAATTTTTACTCATATAAGGCTACTAATGTAATACACAAGTAGCTTTTTTGTGACAATAACTCTGTATTTCTAAAACAGTGGTAGGTAATATTCAAAAAGGAATTCTTTGTAGAGGGTAGTTTCAACTATAAAAGAACGTCTTGCTTAACCATCTTTTGATTATTAATATATTATTAACTACCTAAATAATTGTAACGTTGATTATGTCATGAAAATAACGAAAAGTTAAAAGACCTAGGTATTCGCACAAATGGTACAATTTAAACGCCGACCGGCCACCCATAGTCTTGGCCTATAAACACCAAAGCGATACGTTACGTTCTCTTTCAGTTTGGAGTTGAGTAAATAGTGGAATTTGACGAACAGGAAGAGCAATTGACATGCGCGCGCTACACTGCGGGAAAAATGTAAACTAGGGCACCCGTGCAACAGCCTTCCCGTACCCTTCTTAACTCTGTTTATATTACTTCTCTGTGGTTTAAGGCTACTTTTAGTTAGGCTACAGGGAGTAGAGGCCATCCCCCACGCCTCGCGGATCAAACTGGTTGTTTTAAGCGACCCCATTTTCTACCTTCCAGATTTCTGGATCAGTTTGGATGTTAATGAACTACCCTCTGTCCGAGGATCATTTCGGACACACGTCGTGTGCATTCATGACACGTCAAACGATTCCAATCGTGAATATCCCAAATCTGCTGACATGGCAACTTTGGAGGTTTGAGGAATTGCAGTGCGCTGACGTTATTCCATACGTCGAGAAGCGATTTGTTGACACTCCTGCTCAAGATGATCGGACTGTTCATTATTTTGCACGGCCATAAGATCTTAAATTATTTCTCACCTTTTTTTCTTTGATGAGCAACTTGCCGAGGTTTAGAGGCATTTGGTGAGATGAATGAGCTGGTTGGAACTGGCTCAGTTATAGACGAGGAGGTGTAATTTGTTTCCTGAGGATTGATTGTAGCTTTTCTCCCTTTCGGATTATTTATATATGCTTCGGAAGTCTTCCGTGTTTCATTCTTAATCTTATAAATTAACCTTGAAAACATTTAACAGTAATTTGTATGTAAACTAAACTGCATTTTCTTTAAAACAAAACTTTTAGTCCAAACTAACCAATACAGTTATTTTTGTTTACACGTTAATCAAAATGATGACAGTAAAAATAATCTGCATCAGCTGTTTTTATTAATTTAAGCTACAAAATGGTATTCACGATAACATGGGCACTTTCAAGGGATTTAGGGTGGAAATTAGATTTTTCTCAGCCTTGTGACCAACTCCAATCGATTTCTCGTGGCCAAATACCCCATAGTAAAGAAATACCCCATAAATCGAACATCCACGGACAAAAAAAGTTTGCCCGTACATGCGCTTGTTTTAGATTATAGGATTACTGTGCGATACAAAATCTCAGGTTCTCGTACAATTACGTCATATTTCATTCCTGGGCTGACTTAAGGTTGTCAAAACTGTACTGGTTTATATACAAAAAAAATTTGAGCGCTCTCTCTCTCTCTTTTCTTTGTGAGGTTATGATGCGCAAACGATTACTGTGTAATGTAATCTTGGGGTCTCGTATCGCACCTGGGTAATCAAAGCCGACGAGACCTATGGATCTCATAACGCACCATTGGAATAATGCTTTTAAATATACAATGTAGCAATCGTGTTAATGTAGGCGGTTGCAATAAAATTAACTGTAAGACCCTGAATTTTAGACATTTTTGAACACCATCCTGTACATGAGCATTATTGGGATTAATTTAAAACTTATTCATCAAAATACTCAGTGAACATGAGGCATCACTTAACCTACCTTTACCTTTAAACATTTTCCAAAAACTACCCTCTCCCCCCAAAACTACCCTTTTATTGCTTTTGGGGATTTTAAAATTATTTCCCCAAATTCTACAGGGTAAAAATAGAGGTGTGTAAGTTGTTACATACGATTTAGTTGTTGTCGATTGGTTTGGCTGCTATACATGGTGTGTACACGGTCTGCCTCACCCTGCATAATTTCAAATGTTAAACTAGCTTCAATACAAGTTTTATTTCAACACAATTGGATGATCCATCTCTGAGATACTTAAGTCCAAACTCCAGAACAATTTTTTTCTCTCAACAGTTGTATCTTAATCCATCCCCTTACATTCAAGACAAGCTGTGTCTGTTTCCAATATGTTAGTGTTGACTGCTGGCTGTTAAGGGGTCTTATGACATGGAATATTAACTTTTGTGCAATCGTTACCTCAGATAATGGAATTATTATTAGTTCAATTTCTGTTGAAGCTATATATATTTCCAATTTCAAACCATCTTTTAGTTATAACTTTTGAGAAATGTATAACAATCATCATAGGGTACTTTCCTGTTAAAGGGAACATTCATTATTATCAATGATTTTTAATCGATATATCGATATTTTTATTCCCCTTTACGATCCATTACAAATTGACAACTGATCTTGTTCATGCTAAAATCTAGTCTATTATGGATTAAAACTGTTGTAAGCTAACCTAACATAACCAACCAAACTTGCTGTACCATTTTAAAAATTCCGATTGATTACAGAAAAGGCATGTGGGGAATATTAAACGGAATTTTTAAATGTTACAGCAAGTTTGAAGTTTGATAGTTTGAGCAAGTTAGTTTTGTTAGGTTGGTTTGGAACAGTTTCATTTAAATTTTTTTTATACTGAACAATATTTATTTATCGTAGTTGTCAGCTGATAAGTTTTAATTCATTAATATCGATATATCGATTGAAAATCATCGATAATAATGAATCTTTAACAGGAAAGTACCCATGATAGCACAGAAAATGAGGACGAATATTTACAAAAATGTATAGGTTTAATGGTACCCATGAAATCAGTTCTTGCTACCACCATCGATTTTTGCAATATGTTTTAGTTTGGCAGTAAGCAGGAACTGATTTAAATTGTAGTTAACTGTCATACTTATTGCAATAGTTCGACCATAGATTTTAATTGCAATAACCTATGCAATTCAAACAGATCCAAACACGGGATCTTAGATTTAAGCTTTTACGCTAAAAAGGTACGTGTATACATTCAATCATTTCAAACATTTCTTTATTTGCAGATAAAAAACTATCTGGTAAATCCAAAGACGAACAGATGGCGGAAAAGAAACAGGAACTAGAAAAAAGACTACAAGACGTAACTGGACAACTTGGCACTGCCAAAAAACAGGCCAAGAAAGGTAATTATGAAATTGTTAAATGTACTTAATATAAAGTAAAGTGGTTCATCTTGTCTGTGAATAAAAGTTTCCAATTAGCTCTCGTAATACAGTTGAACCTCTATAAGACGAATTTCAAGGGGTACGGGAAAAATTCGTACTATAGAGGTATTCTTATTAAAGAGGGTCGTTTTATCGAGGTTTAATGCTGCTGTTATTCTTCTTATAGAGGTTTCTCCTCGCTCCAAGGTTTTTCCAAACAATGACTGAGGAAGGAGGAGGGATGGGTGGGGGTTTCATGTTGAGACAAGCTTCTGTTTGTTTTGAAAACTGCGTACTATGGAGGTTAAGATTATGATAAATTCGTCTTATAGAGGCCACGTTCGTCTTGTAGAGGTTTTGTGCTAAGAATATTCGTTGTATAGAGGTTAATCAGTCCTAGCCCATGTCACAAACAAATTCGTCTTATGGAGGTTTTTAACTTTATTACTACGTTGTATAGAGGTGTTTTTAGCATTGACCTATATGAAAGTGTCAAGGGGATTAAAAAAAATTCGTCTTATCGAGGAATTCGTTTTATCGAGGTTCGTACAAACGAGGTTCAACTGTATGACAATCCAACGTGACGTGATATTTCCTTAATGGTTTTTCTACCTCCCAGTTAAAAAACCACATGAATGAAATTAAATGTACCGTATTCTGAGAATTGAATTAAGTGTAAAATGTTCAGGGTTGTAAAAGTGAGTAATCTACAGAGTTAAAGCTTTGACTATCAATACAACTAGACATTCCATCCCCATGTTAAATTTGTAGCCAGCTTTTTGATCAAAATCGTCGTAGTTGGTGTGAGCCACCTACAGATTGCACATATCTAAATTACTAAATTCTGCCGAATACAAAATCTTTTTAACCAAGTCAAACATAGGGAATGACTTATGATAAGTTATAGGAACTGTTATGACCCATCAACCTGGTCAGCAACAAAAAATAGGTATAAAATGGTTAAAGCTTACAACAGAAATTAAAAAGTTATGTTTCCGTTACCTTGGCATTCAATGATGATGTATACATGGCCGCGGGAGATGTTCACGGTTTTGTCAGGATCGCGGACGAAGACGATGACATTTCTGTGACCGCGGGAGTCAAGGATGATGTCTACACCTGCTCAAAGCCGCGGGAAATGTTCATAACTTTGCCACAATCGCGGACGACGACTATGACGTTTCCAAGACCGCAGGAGACGTCGATGATAATTCTGTGACCGCGGGAGACGACAATGATGTACCACACAGCCACAGAAAATGTTCATGATTTTGCCGCTATCGCGGATTACTACGATGACGTTTCCGTGTCCGCGCCAGTCAATGATGATGTCTACAATGAAGATGTTCATGATTTTGCTGCGATCGCAAACGATGACATTTCTGTGTCCACAGGAGTCAATGATGATGTCTACACAGCCACGACAAATGGTAATTATTTGCCACGATTGCAAACGACGACGTTTCCGAAACCGCGGGAGACGACGATGACGTTTCCGTGACCAGGGAAGACGACGATGATGTCTACACGGCTGTGGGAAATGTTCATGATTTTGCCGCTATCGCGGATTACGACAACGTTTCAGTGTCCGTGCCAGTCAATGATGATGTCTACACGGTCCCGGAAGATGTTCGAGGGAGATGATCCAAAAAAAATTAAATTTGGCTAGTTAGAATTTGTCATTACTGAATTTTTTTTTTAAACTCCCCATTATCTTAATAATACTTTGTGACATTAAGACAAGGGGTTGGTGTAGTATAACCAAATTATTATGTTTGTTAAACTATACAAATTCGTATCGGTATCAAGAATTGAGAATCGGTACATTTTTGTATCAACACATCACTAATTGTTGAAAGTTAAAAAATCTGGAATTAGTCTAAAAAATGGAAATAAACTTGACACCTTGTTAATGTTTGACTTCCTTTATATACGTAGCTGAAAGCTTTGTCCAATACTCGCCCAAGAATTACCAGGCCCTTTTCTGACACATAAAAATTATAAATTTTGTTAGCCCTTCAATCTGAATACTATTTACTAAAACCAAGAAGCCAGTAAACAAAGTCCATGTTAAGACAATGTCATTTAAATTTGCAGAGTCCAGTAACAACAAGAGTGTTGATGTGGTTGGTGGACCATCGAGGCTCTCTGCGTCAAGTTCGAGCAGTTCGGACTCAGATTCCAGCAGTTCCAGTTTATCCAGTAGTTCTTCTGAATCTAGCGATTCGGAAGGAGGTAAGCTACATTTTTCATTTTTGTTAATCAAAATGGAACTATTTCATTGACTCATTAATTGCTTGTTTATCTCTAGACCCTGACTAATGAAACAGCTGGTCTTAGTGACAAAGCTACATAGATCATACATCACTCCATTCTACACTCATCCTACACTCATATTTGGGTTAAAATAAGCACTTGTAAATAAAGACAAGATTAACCAAAATGTGGCTTTTATTTATTATATAAATCAGCCATACAGTTGTTGTTTACAAGCACTTGTAAACATTAACATACAAAATTAAACGTGTGATAATTTCAAGGATAAGCGAAAACAAATTCGGGAGTACTCATCCACCATGATTAAAAGGTACCGATTCCTGGTCTTTGATGGCAGAGGACCTTTGAAATCAATGTTCTGCTGTTCAATAGGAGTCGTAGCATTATCAGTTTCCCTTGAAAATGGTGGAATCTTGGCTTTATTTCAGCGCACGTTTGGCACGCCGATGTCATTATTTTGTTATGGTCGAGAGTGTAGTTTAAGATTTTACTCTTTATCCAATGAAACATTCTAGTAATCCCAGAATGACACAGTGATTAGTGGAGTTCAAGAAGTTTTGCACTATCTGAGTGTACCGAACACACTCGCGACAATACATCTGCATTTCCATTATCTTTTCCAGGGCGATAAACAATGCCGTACTGGTAAGGTGCAAGTTCAAGGCGCCATCTCATTACTTTGTCATGTTTTATTGGACTTGTATGCCTCCTATCACAAACGAAAGAGTTTGCTGATCGGTATACAGTTTGAATTCCCTTCCAATGAGGGTTCATATTTTCTTAGGGCTTCAACAATTGCAGCGGCTTCCTTTTCAACTACCATATACAATTTCTCAGATTTATTTAAAGTCCTGGAGAAAAAAGCTATCGGTCTATTATTTTGACTTAAGGCTGCTGGAGCAGCTACATCTGAAGTGTCCATCTACACTACCAGCGGTTCTTGACCATCTCTAGGAGTAATAAGTACATTGGCTATGTCAAATTTCAGATTTCTTAGTTTTTAACCGCTTCATTTGACAATGGGAAGGACCTAAACTTGAGTCAAATTCCTTATTCTGTCTGAAAATCGGTGGATCCATTTTGTATAATGGGCAAAAAATCCCAAATTTCCTTTTGTACTGGAAGTTCTATGAGTGGTTTCAGTCTATCTGGATCGGAGCAGATAGACTTATTAGGAAATTAATTGCCCCAACAATGTAATTGACGTTTGATTGAACATACTTGTTTAATACTTCTAAGAATTTCCTTAAATTTGTATAATGATCCGATTGGTCCTTTCCACAAACAGTCAGGTCATCTAAATATGCGTAAACAATGTTTTTAAGCGGAGCAAAGCGAAGCTCTTATACTACACTCCTGCTTTTCTTTTACAAATACTCCTGAACACCTGAAGCGATAGCTGCACGAAATTCAGCACAGTCATAGTAACCAACCATAGGACAGGTATAAATCTAAATGGTACAAATCGGACCACAGGGCTTTTCCTTCCCTATATGAATTCAAACTTTTATTATGGGCCTTATGAGTTAATTGGTCGCCATGACATTATTTGCGAGGTAACAATAGAAAGGTAAACAAGGGTTCCAACGTATGTTAAGTCAATGAATCATCTAAAATAGCACATTACAAATACCGTACTGAGAAAAAGGATGAACAATTGGATGAATATCATTGAGCATAATTTACTACAAAATGAATAACCAATAATTATAGAGTCACCGGAATTAGGCTGATGCACCTAGGACTTTAAATACTCCAAATAGCCATTCCATTTATGTGAACCAAATAAAGGCATACAATTGAGTTTGGATACTGGGACACTGCAAGTAGACTTTCCATTTAAGTGAACCAGACGTACCATTTACTTTGGATACTGCAAATAGGCACTCCATTTATGTGAATCAAATGAACCGTTGACTTAGGATACTGCAAGTAGACAATTAAGCTTTTTGCAGGATTAAAAAGCTAGCTCCGCTCAATATTGCAAGCAGACAACTGCATTTGTACACCTAGTATGTTTGTGGTTTGGTGCATTTTGTTTGGCATCCTAATATTTGTGTAGCCAACTTTTTAAGCACTTTTTGTTAATGGCCCCCTTGGATCTATGCAAAAGAAAAGTTGGGTATAGTTGTAATTTAAGCTCTTGAAGAAAAGCTTTGAAGAGATTATATATTTTAATCTCAGATAAACAAATTTGCCGTAGTGCCAATGGTTTGAGTGCAAATTGCAGTGTTGAACAACTTGTTGTGTAAAGTGTAAACACAGGTCGGGGAAGATGCAGATAAATCTGAATGTTACTGACAGTAGGCCTAGTTGTGTGTAATATTGATGCTGCTCTATGTGAGTGAACCTTACTAATAGTGGCTTGTTTCTGTCCAGGTCTGAATAATCACAAGATGCCGTAGTTAAGTTATTCTCTTTGCCGACCACTACAAAGACTGTCGCCGGTGATCTTATTTATTTTCAGGCTACAGTTAGTATTTAATTAAAGCCAAGAGTGCAGAATGTGTGTGTTGGGGGTCAGCCAGCATTCAGGTGTATATATTTATAAATAAATTTAGATACTTATTTATCTTTCGACTTAATAGTTGTAAGTGTTGAAAAATGCTGGAAATGCTAGGGCCTAGGGCGGACAGGCAGACAATGTGAGTGGTGGCTTTGTTCCCTCGTTGGCTTGCTCGCTGGCCTCCAAGCACATTGTTTGCACTCATGTTGATATAATCAAAATGGTTCTTAAAGTTAGCTTTCATGAAGCTGTTTTAATGTTATATTTTTTAATATACACATTTTTATTTCCTATTTTAATTTCAGATTTTAACTTACGACTTAATTTTGCTAATTTTAGTTCTCGAGTTTAATAATTCCTCTTTTGGTATCCAAAATAGGAAGTATAGTTTTTCTATTCAGGTGATCTCCACTTTGTGTATTTGTAAAGATATTACCGTAGCGATTGCGGTTTGCAAATAATCAATTTAGCATTTGGTTTGTTTTGAAGACTCTTACCGGTATTGTCCGATTTATATATTCTGATGTACAAATCTCATTTGTAAACTTTTTATAGTTTTTATAAGTCTGTGTTATGATTTCGCAACTATTTGTGTACCATTGTAAGCTGGATTCTTCGTGATACTGTGTGAAATTGAAAATAAATTATTTAATTATGTTGTTTATAAAGTACATTTTTTAAACTTTTTAAATTTATATGTTTTGTTTGTGCCATAGTTGTTGTGGCACTCTAAATGTTTTAATTATTTCTGTGATTTAAAATTTACCGCAAAGGACTTTAAAAAATGTTATAAATTTTAAAAATAGTTGATACTAGCATATGAAACTACCGGAGTTAGAATTCATCAGTATTACACTCGTGTAAATTTAACTTCTCTCTTCTCAAACCGGACTAGTCATAAATTTCAAGCCCGATCGTTTATCGTGCATATGACAATTATTCGTTTGTTTAGAAAGACAATTCATTGTGTTTAAAGATCTTTATAAACCCACCAACAGAATTTGGTAAATAGTCAAATCGTGTATTATATTTTATATCGATGTTTTGTTTACCATAATTTATATTGTATATAGAGTAATGTATAATTTTATATTTACATTTTTATATTTAACTTGTATATTAACTTATATGTTATGGCGTACTTTATTTTAACTCCAGCATTTTTCAACTTACCACACAATGTAAATATCTTTAAACTGTTGATATAAAGGAAGGTTGAGTGTAAGCAGAGTTGTAGTGTTGTCAGTGTGCGTGCCTGTAATTAATAGAACAGTCATTGTTTTGCTGCATTGTCTATTTTAAATTAATTTAATATCCTTCCTTTTTTAAAGCATAAACAATCCATGTAAATTTTATATTATAGTTGATCTTTAATAAGGAAACGACTTTCTGTAAACAAATAAGATACATTAACAATAAAAGACCATGAAGGTGTTTTCAATCTGGTTGTTTTGTCTGCTGACAATTTCCTTTCTGTACCCATCACACATTCTGCACTTGGGCCATGTCAAACTGTTCAACTCAAATTTAATATCACCGGTCCGACAGTAAACTCTTAACTCTTTCTCTTGGATTTGTAATTGTGTCTATTAATTGTACTTAAGACCTTGTCATTGAGATAAATAGCATTTTATTTAGAATATATATTGCTAATTATTGTTAAGTAAAAATACATGTCAACCATCTGAGGAAGGTAGGACCAATCAATGTAAATTGTTGCATGTATGGTTGTTTAGCTGCTCAAGAGTTGTGCAGATTTTGTGTTCACATATTTGTAAAGATTTTATAATTTTAGATGTGGGATGTTTATAAATTGTAGTGGGACTAACTTTTAAGTTGGTTTAGGAAATCATAAACCAATACCATTGCATCAATGTGTCATAAAGGTTTCTAAAGTTTTTAATAAAAAAACGCCAGTTTAAATAATTTTTTAATGACTGTGTGTCTTTGTTGAAAGGAAGTTTTAAACACTCAAGATGTGCTTTTTGTGAATGTTGTGGTCATTTCTATATCAACTCAACCTATTTTTCAAGTTGCAAGTCTAGTACAATATTTTGTTGTATTGCTGATGCTCTTGAAGTAGGCCAGAATTTGTTTTATGTGATGTTTATTGTGTTTCAAAATCCCTAGCACTTTGTACAACCTGAATTATTTTCATTCCTACTTATTTAATGTAGGTACTGAAGTTATTTATTTGCTTTGTTAGTATTTTATACAATTTACATCATTGAGAAAAGAGTTAAGAGGTAGTGGTTTCAAGAGAATGATTTTAAATTATTTCATAGTTTTAAACCATTATTTTTCATTTGTATGTTGGTGTGGCCTTGATAGTGCAGAATTGTTGGTCACTCAATGGCCTGTGTTTTCAGCTTAATTTATCTACAAGATCGGAACACTTAGTTTTGTAGAAATCATCAATGCTTAGAAACTGCTTGGAATAAGTAATTTGTCT